AATAGGGAACCTCTTGAAGGTGTATTTCCTGGAGCTGAAGTGAATGGCAAGGGCCAGGGGCCTAGACCCCAGATCATGGCCTGGCCTCGGAGGAGGAGGTGTCCCTGCCAGGCATCCCAATGTTTCCCGTGCACATGCTATGCCTGCTCATATTCATACGGTGACACCCTATCGTAGTGGTTCCTTTCCTTGAGGCAGTGGGGATGACAGCAGCACCTCCTCTGTCATGGCCCAGCACCTAGCACATTGTAGGTTCCGACAAATATTCGATGAAAGAATAAACAAATAAATGAACAGATGCATGCTGGATGAAGGCTCTGGTCAGCAGTGCCTCTCAGACGTAACCGGGAGTGAGAGATGACACTGGAAAGCAAGAAGGAGGGAAGGACTTCCGTGATGTCCAAGCTTAGGAGACACTGAGGTGGTGCCGAGCCCTGCATGGCTTCCAGCTGTTACTTCCCAGCTGGTGACACACACCCCAGACCTCGACAGCACCCCCGAGACCTGGAAGGAGCCAGTGGATGGTGTCAACAGCCTCCCTTGGTGCAGCAGTTCACCCAACGTCCCCAGCCTGTGCCCACCTGGCCATGCCACCTGGCCAGAGTTCCTAGGTATTGCATCCTCTCTTCACAGAGGCCCAGGAGGAGTCACAGGGGCATTCTGGTCATCCCTCACTTTCCTCTCCCAGTGGTGACCCTGTTTGGTAGCTCCTCCTCAGTACTAGCCAGAGAGACTTGGTAAAGCACCCTGATCTGGGGAGCAAATGAAGACACTGAAATGGTCAGAGGCGGTGGGCCAAGGCTTTCTTGTCTAAATCCCTGCACCTGCTTTCTGTGGGGGCCCGCAGGGGGGCCCTTGAGACCTTGGCTTCGCACCACCCCCTCCCTCCCCGAGGGGCCCCAACTGTGCTTTCTCACTGGGGGCTGTGAAATGCAAATGTGGGCAACAGCACAAGGAACCAGGATTCCAACTCGGCTACCAGACAGGTTCATCACCTTCAGACAGTTCTTGTCCTGGGTCCCCTCATCGCTAAGGCTCCTTTGGGCTCCGAAGGCCCAACTCTACTCCTTCATGTCACTTCTCTCCCCAGACACACCCAGTGGCCACCATGTTGCCTCGAGACTGTTTGGTGAATGTTCTTAAGACACGCGTTTCCATGTGTTCATGCTTTGCATGCGCACGTCCATTGGGTGTGTCTGAAGAACTTGATTGTGGAGGGAAGGGGCTGTTCCACCTTCACTTAAACACAAGCTTGAATGAAAAGAGCACCCCATTTTGTTGCTAAAAGTGGCTGAAGGGGACTTGAGGCCTGCCTGCCCACGTGCGCAAGGCACGCACCTGCCCATCAGGTCTGGGCCCCAGGGAAAGGCCTGGCTATGTCAGCTGTAGAAGGAAGCACATCAGGCGAGGTCTGGCCGTGAGCAAGGAGATGTCCCGAGTCGTGAATCTTGGTGGTGTCTTGAGAGTGACTGGCATATCTAGTGCCCTCCAGACAGCAGTTATTGCCACAGAATGCAGGGGGAAGGGGGCCGTGGGCTGAAGGGTCTGACCCCCTTGGAGGCAGGCCAGGTGGCGCCTTTTAGAGGTCCCGAACATGAAGGAAGCCGGCTGCCCTGGCATGCACCAATAGCCCAGGCGGGAAAGGGGTTCTGGTTGTGATGTCTCTGGCAGCACCACAACAGAATTCTTTCTCTCCGCTCAGCCCCTGGGAGTTGTAAACTGGCAGAGCCATGTGTGACTGTCCCCCCAGACAGCCTCAGCTCCCCTCCCCTTTCAGCGCATACTCCAGGGGGAAGGCATTGTGTCTGCCTAGTTCACTGCTGTAACTCCCGTGCCTAGAAGAGTGAACATCTGGCACCCAGTAGGTGCTCATAAATAGTTACTAACTAAAGGAGAGCTCCATCCCAGTGTATTGTGGGATTGGGGGCAGGTGGTTTGGGGCCTGCGTCCTCTGAGATTGTACGCAGGGACTTGGCTCTGTGCCTCAAAACAGTCTGCTCTAAGGAGTTACCTAATCCCCTCTGTCCCCATCCAGCCTGCCCTTCCTTCTCTGGCCTTGGCCTGGTTGGAAGCCAAAGCTTGGTGGGCCCCCACTCCACCCTATCCCACCCCAACTCCCTCGGCCTTGGGAGGCATGCCTCCGTGCCTTCCTCTCTTCCTCCACTGATTTCCACAGCCCTGACTGCCACCCCAGCCTGGTGTCCTTGAAATCTACCACCACCAGGGACCTCAGTGTCCTTCTGGGGATGGGAGAGCCTGCCCTGAGCAGGACAGGGAACAGCCTGAGGCAGCAGAGTGCATACTATGGCTCTTGATCCACCACTCCCCAAAACCTCAAGAAAATTCCTCTGAACAGACCCAGGAACACCGAGTTATAGGAACTCAGGAGAAGTGGAGAACGGAGAAGAGTATGTAGCTCTTCTCTAAACTGGACAACCTAACTTGGGTGAACTTCGGCCACAGTTCCATATAGGGTGCTAGGAGGCAAGTCGGGGTGGGGGGAGAAAAACACCCTTAACCCTCAGGGGTAAGCTAGCTCCCAGACCACCAGGAAACCAGCAGGCTTGCAGGTCACTGTGTTTTTCCACAAAAACACAGTGACCTGCAAGCCTGCACAGGTGGTCTCAGGAAACAAGCAGAAAGCGGTCAGGACTGGCGTGCAGTTAATCTGAGAGGCCTCCTTGGGGGTGAGTTTTAGGCAGAATTATAAAGGAGGTGAACATCAAAACAGAAAGGAAAGAAGAAGGTATTAATAGTGTCAAGTTTTGAGGTTTTAAAGGGGACGGTGACACAGGCTGTCAGGGACGCTAAGGTGTCCCCAGCATTCATGTGGACATCGTTCACTGGGGCAAAGGTCACGATAAAGGTCAAAGGCCACAGAAGAGGGAGTGAAAGAAGAGAAGTGAAAGACTTCCCCATTTCCATCTATGTCACCGAAGTCAGTGAGTGAGACAGTCTAGATCCGGAAACAACAGTCCAGGTGGAAAAATTAGAGAGAGGAGGGAGGGAAAGAAGCGGGCAGCCCCAGACACGAGGCAGCTGGAAATGCAATGAGAGGTAGTGCCTGGGAATAGGGCTCCCTGGAGAGGGCATGGGAAAGAAAGGAAGGACCCGGGCAGGAAGGCAGACTGGGGTCAGCTCCCGCCAGGAAGGGTGAGGGGAGAAAGTGGAGGTGGCCCCCATTCCCATGGGCTACGGCACTCCCTAAGCCTCTCCACCGGTCTCTGTTCCATGGAAAGCTCTGAAAGGTTCACTCAGCACAGGTCAGGAAACAAATGTCTCTTCTCTGGGAGAAAGATTATCATGCGATGCATACAGAAAACAAAGACAATTATTCTTTCCGCCCCAGACGCATGCACCACCCGGCTCAGACCTGGGTGCCCCGGCAGCCTGGTGAGAGAACGCTGCTCCTCTCGCCCTGTATCAACACAAGCTATGATTCATAGGTTCCCTGTGGAAACTCGAACAATCTCTCAATGGAGGAGAGCTCCCCCCGTCCCTGCCCGCCTCAGCCGCAAGGAGGAAATAGCTCCGCAAACAAGTGCCAAGCTGTCATTCCAGGCCGGTGAGCGTTGCCTAGCCCATCATTCCACGTGTGTCTCTGAAAGGACACCTGTGTGGGAAGACCATGGAATCTGGCTCTGCTTCTCCATAGCTGGGCACCACTGGTCTGCTAAATTGACCATTCAAGGACTCAGTTTCCGGAAACTGAATACATTTCCGTTCCTCTCTCGCTCTGCTAGCTTTCGAAACCATTGCAAGGAGCAAGCGGTCAGCAAGAGAAAAGAAAATCTAACAATTTCTCTGGCTGTCCCCAGGATAGAGGCAGGGGGATGAGATGCAGAAAAGGGGGAGACCAGGAGCTTGCAGGCTTCCTATCAGTGTCCACTGACGGGCATGTAGGGCTCAGTCCACAAGACTAACAGTGAAAACAAGACAAATGTCTTGGGCGCCCTCCACTCTCATTGGAAGCTCTCCCGATGAAGACTGAAAGCCAGGGATCCCCGGCCTTCAGCCGGAGTGGCCAGTCTGGGAAGCTTTTGGAATAAGGCAGTCTCAGACAGAGCTGGGAGGCAGTTTATGGTACACCACCTTTGTATAAATTAACGAACTTCAATTCTGTCTTCCTACTAGGACCACAAGCCTTTTATTAAAGACAAAGGACGTGTATGTTGCTCCTTTCAAAATCCCCACCGGCCTTGCCACGGGAAGGACACGCGGCGCGTTCTCCGCTCATGTGTTTGATGGCGCCAGAGGGACAGGAGACTCGACAAATGTTTCCTCAGCAATCACGTGTCCTAGGCATTGCAACAGTTAATTTCCCACATGAATCCTCATCACAAACCCCACTTTACAGACACCCAAACTGAGGCTGGGGGAAGGTTCGCGACTGGTGCGGGGTCTCACAACTACTAAGTGGTGGGGCTGGGACTCAAACACATCCTCCCACACTCACAACTTCCCGCCACAGCAGACAGAGGGGCTGGTCCCGAGAGTCCCATAGCGGAGCAGACAGGATGTATGTGTGCGTATGCACGTGTGTGTGCACACACTCTGCTGCTCCGGGAAATCAGGCGTGACCTACACGATAGAGAAGGAAGCTTATGAGGAAAACAAAGGGGCAATCAAAACTGGGTCGTGTCCTGAGAAAGATGAATGTGGAGCAGGAGTTTTAGGACCTGGAAGGACAGCGTGGGGCAGGGGACACAGCGGGCACTTGCTGAGAAAAGGCTCGGGAGCAGGAAGCCCAGCTGGGGAAGAGGTAGGCCTGGGAAACAGGGAATCGCAGGCACTTGTTTTGACACACGATGTTTGCACAGGAGGGAGTGGGTCCCAGGCCTAAGAAAGTGGTTTAGAAACAAGGCAGTGTTTTTAGAGCCCATTAGGAGATGCATGATTAGGACATGACTGAAAGCAATTAGCGTGCTTCTCATTCGTCTGCTGATCAAGTTGCGACTGGAAAGGAGTTTCCACGTGGGGGAGGGATGTCAGGGAACCAACCAGTGGCCTTGACACTGTCTCAGAGGGGCGCTGAGTGTGAGCTCAGGGCTGGCGAATGCCTGGGGGATGCCATCAGAGGCCTCCCTCGGCTGCACCCCGCCCCTCCCGCAGGTCCATAAAAGCCAAGGCGGCCCAGGGCTCCCCAGGTGCCCCGTCTTCTCCATCCCCCAGCGCACACGCCCGTGTCAGGAGCTCTCCTTGCCAGCCTCGCTCAGCCACCATGTCCAGGCAGTCCAGCATCACTTTCCAGACCGGCAGCCGCAGGAGCTTCAGCACGGCCTCGGCCACCACCCCAGTGGCCGGCCGCTCCCGCTTCAGCTCCGTCTCCGTGGCCCGCTCCGCAGGAGGTGGTGCGGGGCTGGGCAGGATGAGCAGCGCTGGGGCGGGCTTCGGGAGTCGCAGCCTCTACAACCTGGGGGGCACCAGGCGGGTCTCCATCGGGGGGTGCGGCAGCAGCTTCCGAAGTGGCTTTGGTGGCAGGGCCAGCAGCGGGTTCGGGGTCAGCAGTGGATTTGGCCATGGGGGCACAGGCGGAGGAGGCTACGGGGCCTCGGGCTTCCCCGTGTGCCCCCCTGGAGGCATCCAAGAGGTCACCATCAACCAGAGCCTCCTGACTCCCCTCAACCTGCAAATCGACCCTACCATCCAGCGGGTGCGGAAAGAGGAGCAGGAGCAGATCAAGACCCTCAACAACAAGTTTGCCTCATTCATCGACAAGGTGAGCCGGGGGGCTGCATGTGCGCCATTGGGGTCGGGTGGCAGGAACTCTTGGAAAGACCCCCCCGCATGGACAGGGAGCAGTAATGCAACGGCCTCCCTGTGGAAAAACGCATCCACTCAACAAGTACCTCGCAAGTGGCGCCAGATGGCCCACAGGACCTTGTGGAAATTTCCCTCATCCTCCCTGCGAGACACATGGTTGGTTCAGCCAACACAGAGGGAAGAATGAAGTTGTTCTCCACAGGAGGAGTTTCCACTGAGCAAACTAGCCTCACCCAGTGCAAGTGTTGTCAAGACACTCAATCCAAGAGTAGAGTCTCCCCCTAGAGACCTCCAAGCCGACCACACCAGTTCTAGGGAAGCCTCAGAGAACGGTGAGGTAGCTTCGAGGGCTTTCTCATTCTGATTTGAAGTTGTCAATTATATAGCTGACAGATGGTTATCAGGTAAAAGGTGGATTTTTCTTCTCTCCCTTATTAGTTGGAGTGTCTGGCTCTGCCCCCCAGTATCTCAAGATTTCGTTCTCCCTCCCACCAGGTGAGGTTCCTGGAGCAGCAGAACAAGGTCTTAGAGACCAAGTGGGAGCTCCTTCAGGAGCAGGGCTCCAAGACGGTGAGGCAGAACCTGGAGCCCTTCTTCGACACCTATATCAATGACCTCCGCCGGCAGCTGGACAGCGTCACCACAGAGAGGGGCAGGCTGGACGCTGAGCTGAGGAACATGCAGGACGTCGTGGAAGATTTCAAAGTTAGGTAAGGGGAAGACGGGCTTCTGGTCACACACAGTCGTCCCAGGACTCCTTTTTATAAGGACCAGCGAAGTGCAAAGCAGCAAATACCAGTGGCAGCAGGGAGGTTTGGAACTTGAAGTCATCATCCCATGATCGGGAAGATAGCATGGTGTAGTGTAACAAAGGGACTCTCATCTCATGCATCACTATTAACAAGAAGCCTAGTCTAATCTGTCCACATGACCGCAAAGGGATGTCTGCATCATCTAAAATAACATGGCTACTCTGGAAAGCATAATACCATTTTACAGCCAGAATATTCTTTTACTTCGCTGGCACAGGCCCTATTATTGAGCTGGTACATTCCCAGTGTAAGCGAGGCAATCCTCCTAGCGGAGGCAAAATTTGGCCATCTTCCAGGCTGCAGTAGGTGAGGTATCCAACAAAAAGGGATAGTCCTCCCCCAAACCCAATAGCTGCTTTACCCTTGGTTTCTGAGTTAGAGCCACTCTTATTTACTAAAAGTATGCAGATCATACACACAGCTGCTCTGAGGTTCAGTGAAAATACATCAAAATCTACCAGGAACCGTTTCCTTTCTGAACAAGCAAAATTGGCCCCACAGTTCCAGCAGCCACTTGAGGCAGCAACATTTGTGAAAGATTGCAATTGTGCATCTCTAATAAGATGGAGTCATAAGTACATATTGCTACTCCCATAAGTTCCATGCTCACCTTCTAGTCTTACAAGAGGAAGAGGAAGAAGAAGAAGAAGAAAAAAAAAAACTTCTGGCAGAAGAAATGATTCCCCTTTTATAGAGGGAGAAATAGAGGTTAAGTGAATCACCCCAAGTTGTGCACAGGTCAGTGGAAGAGCTAGAAAGGATTTGGGGTCTCTTAACTCTTGCTACACCAGAAACGCTCCTCAGCCAGGGAAGAGTTCAGCTGCACACTTGCTCAACAGCACGCCCCCTCTCCTCTGTGCTTACAGGTATGAGGATGAAATTAACAAGCGCACCACTGCCGAGAATGAGTTTGTGGCCCTGAAGAAGGTGGGTGTAAATGTCTCTCAAAGGAGAAGATTTGAAACTGAATCTTGGAGTGTGCAGTGACTCGACCCTTGGGACTCCCAAGAAATAGCACATAACCCTTGAGAGTATCTGGAGAGCTCAAATCTGCCAAAATCCTCCCTCTGTATTTATGGCCCCCTGACCCTGCTAGGGTTTCTGTTAGCTCAGAGGACTCAAGCCCCCAGTTCTCTGAAATCACGCACCCCAGCCCCAAGCCCCAGACTCAGAGTTGGCTAAAATCTAACCTGGAAGGACCAGGGCGGAGTCAGTCTGCCCAACTTCTTCTGGACTCACTGCTTGGGGCTGGGGTCTCAGAGGAGCATCCTGTGCTGTTGTTCTAGGATGTGGATTCGGCCTACATGAACAAGGTGGAACTGGAGGCCAAGGTCAACTCTCTGACTGATGAGATCAACTTCTTCCGGATGCTCTTTGAGGCCGTAAGAGCCTGCAAATGTTTTTGTCCCTCCTAGGTCTGGAGCCTGGAAAGAAAAGGATGCTGCAGAGAATGTCATCTACATGGGGTCTCCATGAAGCATCTTGCCCCAGAGGCTCAAAGTTGGGGCTTGGGTGGTCATGGGCACCTGGGAGAACTGCTTGAAATCTTGTCACACTAAACCCTACTCCTGCTCTGAGGCTGCCCCCCCGCCCCACAGCATAGCAAGCAGGGAGTGCCAATTCTCGAATCCCAGGGCCTTGGGTAGCATTCCCAAGGAAACGAGACACACCTCTCCCTCTCCCCTTCCAGAAAAGCTCAGAAAAGGCAAGTTGCCCCTCAGCTCCTTGGTCAGGGTGCTCCTTGCCCTCTGAAGATGCCTCATTCTGGGCACTGCCACTGTGAAGGCAGAGACCTGGGTCTTTGAAGGGGAGAGAGAAGTAGAGAGTGATGAAGTCACACTGTACAGGGAGAAGCAGGGTCCCCAAACTCACTGTATCCTGAAGGACCCTTTTATGCTGGCATATGAATCAACATATGTCATAGTCAACTGAATATAATCTGGACCAGAGAATACTGACCCACTCTTCATACTCAGGGAAAACACACAGATGGGGGTCTTGAGAAGCTATGCTGGGAGACACACCCCCATCGCACTGATCTGTGACCCAGGAACTTCTCAGGGCTCAACATGGGAGTCCCTAAATGGCTTCGAGTGCCCAGAGAAGGGTTGGAAGAGTCCCTGCTAAGGATGACCTAGACGGGTAGTCAGTCGTGTGATTTCAAGAACCTTTCTTTTAATGCCTTGGTGATGCTGAGTTTTCTGGTTCCACAGGAGCTGTCCCAGATGCAGAGCCATGTCAGTGACACGTCCGTGGTGTTGTCCATGGACAACAACCGGAGCCTGGACCTGGACAGCATCATCGCCGAGGTCAAGGCCCAGTATGAGGATATCGCCAACCGCAGCCGGGCCGAGGCCGAGTCCTGGTACCAGACCAAGGTGAGCTTGGAACCTCTATGATAGATTCCAAGACCAGTGTTATCTGAAGCCCCGAATAATCATTTAACTCTTAGCCACAAGCATCAGGAATACATGAGTATTTCTGTCTCTTTCAACATGGCCAAAGTGTCTGGTGCTATGAAAAATCAACTTGAAATGGGTGTAGAAACCCAACCATACACACTAACATGTAGTCAAGCAATGTTGGGTGCTCAGGACAGCCCTCGTCCCCATATCACTTATGATCTGGTTGGGCCTGGGTGAGACTCCATAACAACCAAGGATTAGTCATACAGCTATTTCTAGATGGCTTATTTATTCAACACCTATGTGTCAAGCAGGGTTACAGAGTTGTAAATAAATAAACTGTTTATTTTTGGTCTGAGAGACCAGGAAATAAATGGAGGGGTCGTGGAAGGGAAAAGACCATGTTAATAAAAGCTTCCAAGAAGAGGTGGGTCTTCCTTCCATTTGGAAGCATCCAGGGACAATAGATTGCCAAGGATGGGGGAGGTATTTAAGGCTGAACAAGCAGTCCTGTGGGGACTGGAAGGCAGAAATGAGCACTTTGCCAAGCAAAAGACTCTATATCAAGAAGAGGGGGGTTGGGATGACCATGGAGAGCTATTGTCCAAAGTCACAGATGGCCAGAAGAAGGTTTGGCGTTGGAGGGTGTAGTAGACTGGGTAGTCCAATCCATGAGATCAGCTCCCTGCCCAGTGCAGACCCCTCTCAGGGCCAGCTGCTCACCTACATGTGGCTTCCATCCTTCGCCCTGCTGTGTGCACTGCCTTGGTCCCTACCACTGCAACACAGTAGGAAGGAAGAGGGTGTCAGGGGCCAGGGGTGCACAATGCAGAGGCACGCCCCCTGCAGAGGCAGAGGCAGATAGTAAGTGGAGGTGAGATGTGCCTAAGTTGAAATTTACAGTGGTTGAAATTTATAGTGAACCATTCCTTTTGTAGGCAGGGCCTCTTGTTCCCTTAAACCATGTGTATCTAGAAACGGAGGAGCTGGGCCACTCAGCACTTTCAAAGCCAGCCAGATCTTTACTTGGTCAGGGGCTCTTCTTCCCTGGGAAAGGTGTGGGCAGAAGACAGGGGTGTTTGTTTCTCGTAAATGAGTACATCCTGGATATGCACCACTAGGCAGAGAGCTCCCTCAGATGGGGGATTTTGTTACAAAGTCTTCAGAACTGTGACCCCTCCAGCCTGGCTCCATCTAACACCGATTCCCTGCACCTCTCCCCTGCTCCCCCAGCACTGACGTCTGGAGGGAACCCAAAATTCATGGTCACATGGGTCTGGATGTATGCCCCATGACCGGGATCCCCAAAGGACACTGACCAAGTCACCTTGTCACTCCTAGAGCTCACCATGCTCCTTTCTGCCCCAGGGTCTTCACACAGGCTGTCTCCCCTGCCTGGAATGTTCTCTCCCCCGCCTATCACTTAGGCCACTCCTTCCCATCCTTCAGCACGCAGCTCGAGCACCTCTATCTCTGGAAGGCCTCTCCCGACCCCCACCCCACAACTCCATATCTGGATCAGATTCCTTTGTTACACTACCTGTCCATTTCCGAAGGGGCACTCATCCCAGTTTGGAACTATAAATTCAATAATATTTCATTAACATCTATCTCCCCCAATAAACTGTAAGCAGGAGTCTGATGATGCTCTCCATGATACTCCCAGAGCCTAGCACGTGCCTGGCAAGTAGATGTGCCTACGAAATACCACCCAAATGAATGAGTGAGGGAGTGTGTGAATGATCAGTGAATGGGTGGGCCAGGCTGTGCACACGCAGAGTACTCAGCCCAGGTGTTTGATGAGGGGACTGACTCTGCTCTAATTCCATCAGTACGAGGAGCTGCAGGTCACAGCCGGCCGGCATGGGGATGATCTCCGAAACACCAAGCAAGAGATCTCTGAGATGAACCGGGTGATCCAGAGGCTGAGAGCCGAGATCGACAGCGTCAAGAAGCAGGTAGAGTTTTGGCAGGGCCGAGAGCTCCTTGCACACTCATTTCTTCTGGGTCATTCCACCATGCTTCCAGGACTCCTGCCCAAGACACGCCACACCTCCAGGGGCTGTCAGTAAGGCTCGTGACTTCCTCCTTTTCTTATAGTGTTCCAGCCTGCAAACGGCCATCGCTGACGCAGAGCAGCGTGGAGAGCTGGCCCTCAAGGATGCACGGGCCAAGCTAGTGGAACTGGAGGAGGCCCTGCAGAAGGCCAAGCAGGACATGGCCCGGCTGCTTCGCGAGTACCAGGAGCTCATGAATGTCAAGCTGGCCCTGGACGTGGAGATCGCCACCTACCGCAAGCTGCTGGAGGGCGAGGAGTGCAGGTGGGGACAGATGGGGGGGACAGATGCAATTATCCATTGCAGCTAAGCAAGCATTCCTAAGGGCTCAGGTTGCTGCAGCCCCCTCCTCTCCTGGAAAAGGGAGCAAAATGCAGATAGAATTGGGCTATGAGGGAAAAAAAAACAAAAACAGGTACAATTTCTTTCTGGGCCAGTAAATCATTATCAAATGCCCTTATTTGAAGTACAACTGCTTTTCGTACTCTATAGAAATCTAGGATCTGATCAGGTCTTAAGTAATCAAATTCTATCAGCAATTGGGTTATGTGGCAGGTCTGGATATATGGTATGAAAGGCTCTGGGCTGAGAATAAATTGTCCCAGGATTTGGGCAGACAGGCCTACCACTACCCCAAGACCCTCAAACCTCAGGAAAGTCAGTACCCTTTCTCTGGTCCTCAAATTCTTCAGTGATGGAATAAAGAGGCCAAATCATCTGATCCCCAAAGCTCAGTGGGAGCTTTGGTTCTGCTGATTACCAGCTGTGTGACCGAGGGCAAATTACTTTACCTTTCTGTTCCTCACCCGTGAAATGAGGATACATACCATGCTTTCTATCCCATATGTTATTAAGAGGGTTAAAATAAGGGAATACGCATGAAGTTCTTAGAACAATGCACGACACACAAGTGTTTGAAAAATGCCAGAGATCATTCAGTTTAGTGGCCAAAGATACAGGCTTTGGAGCCAAAGGAGTCTGGCTTCAAATCTTGCTTTGTGATCATGGGCAAGTTAATTAACCTCTCTGAGCTTCAGTTTCCCCATCCATCAAACCTACTTAATGGGGTCATGGAGAGAATTAAGTGGCATAATGTAGGTAACAGGTATGTACCTACAGGTATGTAGTCCTTTTTAATGTTCTAAGTCCGTGTTTATGAATGAAGGCCAGTTCTGTCCTTAGCATGCAAAAGCAAAATTACTCCTCTTGCTACAATAACAGGCTGATTACTGTTATTGTTATGTTTATGACTCAGACTCCTCTCCACACCTCTAATCACCCCAGCACTGCCCCATGCATGACAACAGTCCATTGTTGAGAGAGAAATCTTGTTCCTTAAGGAGCCCTCCCTTCCCAAACGACCCTAGTGTACTATTAGCTTTAATTTTCTCCAGGAGTCTACCCAGTTTGAAACAAAAAAATGTTATTTCTGAGATTACAGGTTTTCCTCCTAGGAACCTCAAACTCCGCATTATGTCATTCATTAGATTATTATTTTTAATACTACTAGTATTTAAATAATTTCAACCTCCACTTACTGCTGCAATAAAAATAATAAAGGGTTTTTTAATGCACTTAATTGCAAAAATGTGATTTCAAATGCCCATGAGCTGCTGGACATAATAGTAACGTTCCTTCTGCCCCCTCCCCCTGATCAGGCTGAGCGGAGAGGGCGTTTCTCCAGTTAACATCTGTGAGTATGACATCCTCTGTGTCAGTTGGTGTGCATGTGGTTGGGGCAGGGGAGTGGCATTGTGCGGGAGGCCGGAGGGCATGCATGAGGCATCGGAAGGGACCTCACGGATAGGGTCCATTTTGAGGTTTGAGGTCTTGAATTCGTTAAAAGGAGAGCCATATTAGAAGTTTTTTTTTTTTAGGAGAGAGTCTTTTATGTCCCAATTCTTACCTCTTTGCAAGGGACAGAGCACCACAAAGGGGCTGAGAGGAGTTTGCTGTGACCCTTCTGCATGGGTTTAGAAGACCCACAGTTTCCACCCACCCCCCGGGGATCCCACACCTTTCTCGCTGGGATGCGAGTCTAGTTCAGACATGAGCATTCACTGCGGACAGGATTTATAAAACCCTGGTGTGCCCTCAGTCTTTGGAGGGAGCCTCCACGCTGGGCCCAAGGGCATGGCCAGGAAGGCCACCACTTCCTGAATGGTGTGGGGAGAAGCCCTGCCGCTCTGTTTTACTCTGCAGAGTATAACAGCAGAAGGTTACCTGGGTTTTTCAAGGCAGAGAGAGCACATAAGGGCAGGTGGGTGTAGCTGCTCGGGAAAAGGAGAGGCGTTAGCAAGCTGGCGCAGCCCCATGCCACTAAGGGCAGAAGTCACTCTCAGAGCTCACTGCTGGCATCGTGAGGCCGACAGGGATGACTTTTACAGCTTGCATCCTACAAGCGAGTTTGGTTTTCTTGATGCGGGATTCACAAAACCAATGATTATACTAACCGGTGATTCTAGAAGGCAGAGCCCTCTGAACTACCCAGCTGTCCTCCTTTGCTGATATCCTTGTCTAGCGGCCCCCAAGACCCTCAAAGCTAGTTTTGGGGACAGCTGCCATAACCTCTGAAGTTCCCTTTCTCTTGAAAGTGCCTGAAAGTCCGTGTTTGTTATCTAGGGCTGCCACATCGCAGTACCACAAACTGGGGGGCTTCAAACCAGAGAAATGAACGGTCTCACACTTCTGGAGAGCTCTTAGTCCTCCCTGCCCTGCATCCTGCCAATCTCTGGCTCTGTGATCACATGGCCCTTTCCCTATGTGTCTGTCTTCATGTGGGTACCTTTCCTCTTCTTATAAGGACAGGAGTCCTATTGGGTAGGGCCCTCCCTAATGATTTTATCTTAACTGGATTCCATCTAAAAGATCCCATTGCCAAATAAGGTTGCATTCACAGGTATTAGAGGTGAAGACTTCAACATATTTTTTGGAGGACACAATTCATTCTGTAACAGTCCATTTTTATTTCAGTTTCCCTTCTGAAGAGCCCAGTGTAGGGTACTGGGTGTTGAAGGTGATGGGTGGTTATAAAAGTTAGGAAAAGAGCAGATGTGGAGGAGAATGGGAGCAGAGTTGGCTGGCCAATAGGTCATCTGTCACTTGGTCTAGCAAGATTACTCCAGCCCCACTCTGGGATTCAGGGTGCAGAGGCTGGCGACACCGAGGGAAGTGCGTACGTGCCCCCCCGAGAAGAAAGAGAGACACCAGAGCCAGGCCCACAGAGGGAGATGGGGACAGAGTGGCAGGAAGTGTGATGGGGTCAAAGGGAAAGGCACGTGGACCAGAATCGCTTCCTGGAGGCCAGAAGTCTCCATTAAGTTCTGGAAGGAAAAGCGAGGCGCCCAGTGGCAGAGAGGAGGCAGGAAGCCATTCCAGACAGGGAGCGTGCCCAGCATTATGGCCCAGGGAAAACCAGGCTCTGAGCATAGGCTAGAGCTCTCACTGAGTAAGTGGGGAAGCTGGAAGGACGCAAACAGCTGCCTGACCAGACAACACATCCCCACCCCACGGACTTTGGGGCACAGGCCCTGACACTCCGGGTGCCCTGGGTTCTGACCCTGTGTCCTGTCTTCCGGCAGCTGTGGTCACCTCCACCGTTTCCAGTGGCTACGGCGGTGGCGGCAGCATTGGAGGCAGAAGCCTGGGTCTCGGCGGGGGCAGCGGCTACTCCTTCACCACCAGCACTGGGCACAGCCTGGGTGCGGGCCTGGGCAGCTCCAGCTTCAGCGCCAGTAGCAGCCGGGGCCTTGGGGGCAGTGGCTCCGGTGTCAAGTTTGTCTCCACCACATCCTCCAGCCGGAAGAGCTACAAGCATTAAGTGCAGCCAGCCCGCCCCCCACCCCTGCCCTGAAGCCTGCCCGCTTGCTGACCTGGCCTGTCTACACTTGAAGACAGGATACCTGGTCCTTCTCCTTCTTCTCCCCTGGCCCACTTGTGCTGCCGGGAAGGAAGCCTGGCGTCCTGGCTAAACCCCATTCCCCAGCTTAAGCCAGCCTCTGCCCTCCTGACAGTCCCCAGAGTGCTCCCCCCACCCTCTCTGTGCTGACGCCCGCCCTCTTTCAAGAGTCACATTGGGCTTATCTTGTGGAGACCCTCTCTTCAGCTCCTCCTTCTTCCTCCCCATCTTCCAGATGCGGAGATGGGAAGTGGGTGTTTTCCAGGCCGTCTCAATGCCAGGTTGGCAGGCCCCCTGTCTCACGGGGCTCATAAGCTGCCTGCTAGGAGTGCGGGCTCTCTCTCTTCCCTCCCTGGGAGGCGTCTATTAAATGCATGTGTAATGTGTTTGGTGTCCAGCCCTCTGTTTGGCATGGTGATGCAGCACAGAACGATCCTCCTCTCCAAGCCACAAAGAGTGCCCAGAGTACATCAGATCTTCCCTGCTTCCAGAATGAAGAATGCTGGGCTGGGGAGATGGGAGGGATGAAGGGGGGCAGACTGCCAGCCAGACTCCATCCTGGTGTTTCTGCCCACTTCCTCCTGTCTCTTGTTGGGATGCGTTCTTTGAGAAGCCCAAGCCCCTGGGCAGCTCTGTCCATCCTCCCGACTCTGTATGTCATTCAGGGCGATACCATCCCCTCCCAAACCCTAACTGTTTTCTGAGGACACTGACGTAGGGTGGGCAGCCCAGCCCTCCTCCAGCAAAGGGGCTGATTGTTCCCTGACAGCTTCAAACTTGCAGACCTGAGCAGAGAAATAACAGGCCAGGAGAGGAGTTAAAAGTCAGCCCTGAGGCCAGTGCTTTCACCAAGCAGAGCCACTGAGACCCATAATTGCAGGCGGCAGTGAGGCATCCAGGAAGCTCCCACATTCCTGAGTTTACAGTCTCCGGAACCCCTCCCATAAGGTCTGAGCCTGCCATCACCCGGAGTGGGGACTGCCCATGTGGACTTTGAGGAAGTGAGCTCAGGGCTCAGGACCATGCTCGGAACTGGTGGGAGCCAGGAACCAGGAATCTGAACCACAACAAACCAGGATGCTGTGCAGGAAGCTAGGTGGCAAGAGGGGAGAGGCCATGAACCGAGAGAAGCTGAGTGTAAAACCAGGGGCTAAAGTCAGGAAGGGTTGGGAGGGATGGCAGGAAGGAGAGAAATGACACTGAGGGTAATCTTTAAATGTTCCTGGTCCCCAGGGACGAGAGGAGTAGGGAGGATAGGAATTTGGAGAGAAATCCTGAGTCTGCTGCCCTCAGACAAGCCACCCCTCCTCCAACCAGCGTCAAGTGCAAAGATCCTGTGGTCAGATCACTGCGCCCTAACATCAGCCATGTGACCATGGCCAAGTCTCACAATGACTCTATGCCTCAATAGCTTCATGAGCAAAACAAGAAGAGTAATAGCTACCCTGTGGTGCTGCGTGAAGACTAAATGAGAAGACCGGTGTAAAGCAGCTATACCTATAGTAGCTGCTCAATAAACGTTGGCAACTATTACTCTCATCTTCACCCTCACAAAGTTATTACGAGAATCGAACGACATAATGCTTGCAGCTGACCTGCCACATGGTCTGGCACAGACTGAGTCCTCAGTAAATGGGGTTTCTCTTCTTTTCCCAGTGACAGGAAGGGCATGATCCAGTGCTTGGGTTCAGAGTCCAAGACCTGGGAATCCAAAGAGAGGAACAGTTGAGAAACAGTGGGAGGGCCTGCCCTGTGAGCCTGAGAACCTGGGCGGGCAGGGGGCTCAGGACCCAGGCCTGCCCCAGGCCCGAATCCCCAGGCCTGGTCCTGCCCTGGGTAGGGTGTTCCCCGTGATGATTAGGGGGCAGGAAGACGGGCGCTGGCCAGACACGCCATTGAGATGAACTCAACAGAGTGGTCTTTGATCTTCTCTGGCCAAGCCCAGTTCTTGGAAGGGATAAAGGTCAAGGAGAGTCTGGGACAGCTGGACTGGGAAGGCTCCTCATCCCTTTGACACTTGTGCTCCTCTGACTGGCCCCGGCTCCCACCATGACCCAACGATCTTCTGTCACCATCAAGTCAGGAGGCACTCGGAACTTTAGTGCTTCTTCGGCCAGCCTCCTCCCAGCCTGCCGGCCTAGCTTCAGCTCTGTCTCTGTGTCCCAGGGTGGGAAGAGCTTCAGGGGCGGCTTTGGGGGTGGCTTCGGGACCAGGAGCCTACACAGCTTTGGGGGTAGCAAGAGAATCTCCATCAGTGGAGGCTATCGCTGCAGCCGGGCCGGTGGTGGGGGTGCCAGCTATGGGCTGGGTCTCAGAGGCATGGGCTACAGAGCCGGGGGAGCCTTCGGGGGGTACTGATTTGGAGGCGGGATGATGTCTGGCTCCGGAGGCATCCAGGAGGTCACTGTCGACCAAAGCCTCCTGACCCCCCTCCACCTGGAGATTGATCCCTCCCTCCAGCGGGTGCGAAAGGAGGAAAAGGAGCAGATCAAGACCCTCAACAACAAGTTCACCTCCTTCATTGACAAGGTGAGAGGCAAGAGGGGTCCCCACCGGGAAAGCAGCAGGTACCCGGGGTATCTCTGCTTTCTGTGCTTTTCTGAGGTCAAGTGGGACTTGCCCAGGACCTGCGATCCTGGGGGCTGGGAAGACTGCTGACCCAGTGAAGAAGGGAGTGGTTTCCCACCTTCTTGAGGTGGGAGCAAAAAAATGTTCATCTCCACACTCCAGAGCTGTCTGACCTACTGAAAGGCCATTGCTCTTTTGGTGGATAGGGAATGTGTACTGGGCTTAAGGTTAGACAGCAAAAAGGGATCATTTTGTAGGCAAAGGAATGAAGGAATGAAAGGTTATGAGAAACAGGCTGGGGTCACCTTTCCCGGCAGTTAATAGGGACAAATCCTCCTGCGGTGACCTCCCTGGTGACTCGGGTATGGTGGGGAAGCTGAGTGGTTGGCGAGGGGCCGGCTTTCCCACTTTTCTTCTGGCGAGAGTTGAGCTGTGACATCAGTCCTGAGTGCACCCTGAGGGAAGGCCTGTACTCCTAGGGATTTCCCCAGGTCCGGGGAAAGAAGCTATTCTATTTTATTCTACCACTGGTTCACACCTGAGCTGGTTGCTTTGTCTGGAAAGAACCAGTTCAAGGACGTGGCTTGTTCAGGCTCCATATATGGGACCTGGAAGGAAGAGTGCTGGACTCTTCCAACCCAGACTCTAGTGCTAGGAGAACATCCCCTAACTTCTTGGGCCTCGGTTGGGTTGGACAGACAGACTCTAAGGTGGCTCTGCAGGTCTAACAGGCTATGGAATGCCTCATCCAAGGGTCCCAGATCTTCCAATGCACCAATCTAACCCCAGGGACTGTTGAGCCAGGGGTTCTTCCATTTGATCACCTGTGTCACCCCACTTGGCCTTGTATTTGCACCAACAGATGTGAGGTTTCCAGGAGACTGGCTCTGAGGGGAACAGGCAGGCCCTCCTTTGCTTGGTTCATCTGGAGGGGCATGTGGGGGAAAGGGGATGTGATAAGGAGGGACTTGAGGTCAGGATTGCCCTTCTTCTGACAACAGAGAAGAAAGGTGGGAAGGGCAAGAGGGGCATTTGTTAAAGGCCCTCTGGAGGCACACTGCCATCTCCAAGGTTTTGGGGGCTCCTTTGTTCCTTCATTCTGAGGCTGTGTATCACTCCATGGACTCCCAAAGGAAGGACTTTGTGTAAGGAGAAAGGTTTCACATATTCCCAAGGCTGCCTCCCAGACGGAGGAGCAGATAGATGAGTGCAATTCAAGCAAACCAGACTAGTAGCACAAGACCACAGGGGACCTGAGAGAGCAGAAGGGGCTTGCCCAGGCCACACAGTTGGCCAGGGACATGGCTGGCATTGTGCCCAGGTCCCCCAACGTGACTTTAGAGTGACCCATTTCAGCGTTCCTGGACTGCATGGGCAACTGAGTTCAGATTCTAGATCTAGAGAAATCACGTAGGAAAGAAAATGGACAGACTAAATTTTCTGCCAAGAGCCTCCTGCCCATTTAATGGGAATCGAAATCCCGACCAGTAAGGTGATGGTGGAGTATTATTTCCTTCAGCTACTGCACACCAGTGTGGTTTGGTGGATGCAGATGGTTTCCAGCCCCTCTGGTCCTGGTCCTCCTTACTTCTCCCACCTCCACACCAAGCCGCCGCCTGTCTCCCAGGCCCATTGCACCCACATTTGGGTGGCTATCTATGTTGCAGGATCCTTCCAGGGTGAGGACCAGGAGGAGCCTGCCACCTGAACTCCAAGCTCCTGGAGGGCCTCCCTGCACTGTTGGGGGGCCCTATGTCACAGAGCTCTCCAGGAGGCTGCTACAGGGCAGCCCTCACAGTCTCTCCCCTCTGGCCGGGGCAGGTGCGGTTCCTGGAGCAGCAGAACAAGGTCCTGGAGACCAAATGGAGCCTCCTGCGGGAGCATAAAACCACCAGGGCCAACATCGAGCCCATGTTTGAAGCCTACATCAGCAGCCTGAGGCGGCAGCTGGACTGCCTGGGTGGCAAGCGGACGCGGCTGGAGATGGAGTTGAAGAACATGCAGGACGTGGTGGAAGACTTCAAGAACAAGTGAGTAAATGCTCAGCCGGATGCCCCAAGGGTCCTGGGGAGGCCCCGCTCTCTGCAAGCGTCCAGTCCAGTGAGACAGTAGGACGCACCCTCAGGGCAGCGAGGCGGAATCAGAAAAAGAACTGGGGCCCTGTGCCCAAGAATGTTGAGGCTTTGGGGAGGGGTGGGGCTGGAGATGATGATGACTGGCACGGGCGCAAAGAGCAGGGTTTGCACGACCACCGTATAAACTCTGCAGATGGGGAGAGTAAGGATCGGAGACAGGCACTGACTTAGCCAGTGTTGTGCAGGTGGCAACTCATGAGTTAAGAATGAAACCCATAG